CTAGACTCACCACAGTCCACTGTTGGAGCTGAGGATGCATCAACTGCATACAAATCTCATGGCAGATAACAAATGGAGGAAGAATAAGATGATGTTGGAAAATAATAAAATTCCCACTACAGAAAATATGTATCAAATGCTTTCATTTTACAGGTTCTTTTTGAAATGGGTTCCATTGTTGTTGGCAGAAGGTGTTTTTCTTTGATAGCAGTAAAGAGTTAAAGGATAAGAAGGCTTTTAGGGAAAGTCCTTTCCTGGGGCAAAAACTATTGGATTCATTCTACTTAAATATTGTCAGTGAAAAAGGGAAAGAGATGCTGATCACAAATTTCAAAAAACAATAAAGTACACATAATAGAATGGTACTCTCCTGACATAACAGTAAAGTATGTTTACCTTTCTACCACATTTACAGGGTTACTGCAACAAAGTGGCAACAGCAAAACCACTCAAGAACTGAAGATCATGGCAAAGCAAAGAAAAAAGATGAGGATGAGGTTGGGAAGAAGAATGAATGCAGAATTCTCAGATTTTTAATTTTTTTTTTTAAACAGAGTCTCGCTCTGTCACCAGGTGCCAGGCTGGAGTGCAGTGGCGCGATCCTGGCTCACTGCAACCTCTGCCTCCCTGGTTCAAGCAATTCTCCTGCCTCAGCCTCCCGAGTAGCTGGGACTACAGGCACACACCACCACGCCCAGCTAATTTTTGTATTTTTTGGTAGAGATGGTGTTTCACCATGTTGGCCAGGATGTTCTCTATCTCTTGACCTCATGATCCGCCCACCTCAGCCTCCCAAAGTGCTGGGATCTCAGCCCTACTACTCAACTATTACTATTCCCCAATTAAAACAAGTATCAGCAAACAAAATCTTCCAGTTTGTTTTAGCACACGCAGAAAAATCCTAGAAGTAGAGGGGTCAGGTGAGCATAACCTACCAAATTAATATCTTCAAATCAAAGCAAGAAAAAGGATGAGAGGAAATCAGTAGGTAAAACTTTCCTTGTTATATCAAAAAAGATTGTGACTGAATATGGTTAACCAATAACCAATATGTGATTAGATGTTTACTCATATGTCACAACAATTCACACCCAGTTTGTTTGAGCATTGCTACTCATACATTGATGTGGACAGAAAAATGTGCAAAAATTTATAGTTAATAACCTACTTCCATGAAATAGCCTCAATAGCAAAACCAACTATTTTTGTTTGTTTTTAATTTTTTAAGTTCAGGGGTGCATTGCAGGATGTGCAGGTTTATTACATAGGTAAACATGTGTCATGGGAGTTAATTATAGCCATTATTTATATTACCTGGTTTTCTCCCTCTTCCTACCCTCCAAGCCCCTGATAAGCTCCAGTGCATGGTATTTCCCTCTATGTGTCCATGTGTTTTTATCATTTGGTTCCCACTTATGAGTGAGAACCTTCTATATTTGGTTTTCTGTTCCTGCATTTGTTTGCTAAGGAAAATGGCCTCCAGCTCCACCCATGTTCATGCAAAAGGGCATGATCTTGTTCTTTTTTATGGCTGCATAGTATTCCATGGTGTATATATACCACATTTTCTTTATCCATTCTATCATTAATGGGAATTTAGGTTAATTCCATGTCTTTGCTATTGTGAATAATGCTACAATGAAGGTAACTGTGCATGTGTCTTTATGATAGAATGCTTTATATTCCATTGAGTATATACCCAATAATAGGATTGCTGGATAGTATGGTAGTTCTGCTTCCAGCTATTTGAGGAATCAGCTTACTGCTTTCCACAATGTGGGAACTAACTTGCTGTCTTACCAACAGTGTAAAATATATCTTTTTCTCCACAACCTAGATAGCATCTGTTATTTTTTGACTTTTTATTAATCACTATTCTGACTAGTGTGAGACAGTATCTCATTGTAGTTTTTATTTGCATTTCTCTAATGATCGGTGACTTTGAGAATTTGTTTATATGATTCCTGGCCACATGCGTGTCTTCTTTTGAGAAATGTCTGTTCATGTACTTTGCTCACTTTTT